TAGTTTATATTGAAATAGCACTTTTCAATAAAGAAAAGAAATATCTTTAGTACGCACCGTATTTTACATCAGCCAGGAGAGCTAAAAAAATCTTAAAGCTTGAAAATTCTATTTGGTGGTGGTGGTGGTGGGGGGGGGGGGGGGGGGGGGGGGTCGTCAACTTTTTTCAATACCAAATTTTACTCATATGCCACTAAGTCCATGACTTTTAATATTTAATATATAAATTGACTATTAGTACTGCAACAAAAAGTGTAAGGGATGGGGGCAACAAGCCTTTCGCTGAACTTTTCCAGAAGTAGAAAGTCTGTTACGTTTAGGAAAATGTTTCGTGGCCACCCTCCCCTCTACCAATGAAACTTACCCCATAGGAGGTCGTACAGACGGAAGTCAGTATATTCATTGAGACTTGGGGGTGTGATAATGATTGTACATTGTATAACGTCCCTTTAAATTCGAGAATTTTTAACTCAAATGGAGGAGCCACCTCTTGCAGGTGGAGAGCTGCAAATTTGTCCTATATACTCGGCACTTATAGCCATTGAGCAGTGAGGGATCTTTTTTCGTGCCAGCACCTACTGCAAAACGGGACCTCGGATAATACGGTCTAGATCTCATCCGAAGGACCGAACTCCACGTCCCATAGTGGTATTGATCGACTCCTTACTACTGTGTTTCGTGACTCTAGAGCAGACGCCGTAACCACAGTGCCACGCAGGCGACTGCACCTGGGGGGTGGGGGGGGGGGGGCTACACCCAGGGGGGGGGGGGCGAAAAAGAAAGTCATTATCCATTTGTACTCGTGAAGATTATCTAAGTTAAACTAAATGGTTAAAATGATTTAATTATTAACCACTATTAAAATGATATCATTTAAACATTTATTCATATAGGAAGGATAAGTTTTCTTCAAAATCTGAAAACGTTAGTATACAAACATTGTTTTACGATTAAAAAAACTATTCGGGGGAGGGGTTACTATGAAGGAGGACGAATTGTTTTATACAGCGAGATTTCCCACGGAAGACTAGCTATATATTGAAAGTTCCCCGGGGGAAGTCTCACTGTATAGTCTTCCACGAAGGAAGCACCACTATGTAGTCAGTCTTCCAGGGGAAATCTTACCATTTTCCGAGGGAATGGCATTATCGGGTACATACCTGAACTTATAGCAAACATCCTTTGAAAATTTTAGTTCGATTGATAAAGTATTAAGACAGAAAATAGAAAAAAACTCGAATAACCCCGGCCCGGGTTTGCTTACCTAGTTTTACCAACACTCGTAGCGAACACCCCTGCCACCTAGCGTTATAATGCGGCACTAAATATTGCCAACTTGTATTCGTCTTCATTGAATATGCTTCATTCTTTGTGTGATTGAATTCACGTTCGTAATAGAGATAATCATTTAAGAAACTGTATCAATTTAAAAGAAAGTAAAATGAATTTACAAGAATAAAGCAACATAAAAGTAAGGGCAAAATGAAGAAGGATAAAAGTCAAAGTGAAATGTAATAAAGACGAATATGAAAACAATAAAGTGACATATAATTACAACAATAACAAAGCATAAAGAAGTAGGTAGAATAAGAATAAAAGCAAGATACATAGACTTTTGGCGGTAATTCCCTTCTAAGAGGTCCGCTTTTACGCCACTCCCGATCTGTATTGGTTGGAGTTTTGAACCTGAATATTGTTCGTTACGAGGGGTTATCAAAAAGTTCGTGGACTGAGGCTATAAAATTAATACCATGCTGTCTGAGCTTACAAAATTTATTAGGAACATAAAACAACAAAAAATAAAGAAATGTTGAAAATTTTAGCTTGATACGTTCATTATTCCGTAAATTATTATAAAATAAATACGACATTATATGATCACCCGGCGCCGTCGCCGCTTAGTTTCATGACGTCCGACAACGTCATTATTTTTCAATGTCCGCTTTTTCTACCTCGAATACTTATTTTGATGAGATTCCCTAGAGCTGAGTAATGACTTCAACCCGTCTTGTTTTTATGACTTAACAATGTCATGAACAGCAGCTTTCAGTGCAGATATTATTGCAAATATACACTGGAAGACATCCTCATAATTGTACCAGCATATTTTGTTTTTTGGAGTTCAATATAGCTATAAAACACATGATCAACGTCATTATTTGACGTGATAGATTTTTCAAACCTTGACTACAAATCGACATTAACTTTGCATCCCTTTTCTCTCTGAATCTATTTTGGCAATAAAAAAACAAGTAATCTGGATGCATATTATTTCTCAGTAGCCAGTTTAAAAATTTCCTAGGTATAAACTAGTTTTTACAGAGGCAAAACTTTATAGAATGTTGTAAAAGGAAATCCCTCCCCTCTTTTGATGACATTTTCAAGGCAATATTTGTTTGGATACTCCATGTAAAATTCACGATAAAATTTCATAGAACTTCCAGAATGTGGTAAAAATTTAATATTTTATGGAACAATAGTGTCTCAACACATACCTGAATTAAAGGGATTTTTGGATGTCAAATGTCCATATCAAAATAGTTTATCTTAGTTACACTGAGGTCGGAAAAAAACGTCGTTTTCGAGGTTGCGCCGCCTGGACCTACTATTCCTTACAAAAACTTTACTAATTTATTTAAAAATAAAATTAATGATTTGTGGTTTATTCCATAGATAGAAAAGATGATAATAACTAAATATTTAAAAATTCATTGATGTTCCTAAAGCGGTTTTAATTTTATGGTGCTAGTCCACGAACTTGTTGATAGCCCCTCGTATCTTCATATGTTTCACTAGATATACGAGGGTTGTCCCATAAAATCGTGGACAAGTTGTCTAGTGTGAAAAATAAACATCACTGCGTTCTGAAATTTTCATTATTATTTAGTACATATTTTAGTAATATACACAGCAAATTTCAGATAAATATATGCATAAATAAACAAATTATGAGATTTTATGCCATGTATTGTATCACCTTACGGCGCATGGATTATAACGTCAAAGTGTCTAAAACAGCGTCACGTTTTAGCTTTGCTGAAGATGAAGTTGGATGAGTACTATTCTTTAGTCTCCATAAACAGCCGAAGAACCAATTGGCGCCCTCATGCGATCTTCTGAAGATTTATTAGTAAGTTACGGACAATATTCTCACCATCATTCAACTAATAGAAAATCTCATATCGGCGGTCTACTGTGATAGCGTCTTTTGCTATTACATTAGGAGTTTGTCCGTATGTTTTGTACTCCCCCAGGGACTCGATCAAAAAAACTTCGCTAAGAAAACTCCTATTTCATTTGTATACTTAAGTTATGGTGATATTTTTATAATCTTTTTTTTCTTCTATGGTCATTTCAAGTCTCTATAGGTGTCATTACAACATAGAAATAAAACTGAACTGTTCTCCGGTGCTCCGTAACGTCATAAAACGTCGCCATTTTTCGTATGTTGTGTTTACCACTTTCCCATTTCGAATGCTCGAGAACTGCCAAAAATTAAGCAAATGCCTTAAAATTTTTCCAAAGACTACAAAATTGAATATGGAATTGAATTAGGATAATTTTAATCCAAATCTTATGCATTTAAAACTTTTATTTGAATTCAAACTTGTGTATTCTTTAATAAAACCTTGGTTTTTTGACCGTGCGCCGTAGGACAATACCTCGTGCACATTCAAGCATTATAAAATCTTTATTTTTGCCTATATTTTATCAAAAAAAATTATCATTCACTTAAATATGATAAATAAACATTTACTGAAATTTTCAGCTTAGTGCGCCCATTGCTTTTCGAGAAAAACGCTTTGTCCACGATTTTACGGGACAACCCTCGTATACTGGGAAAGAAATAGTATCCTTTTATTTTTTGATTGACTTCCGACTGAAAATACAGTGTGTTCCTCGGTTCTGTTCTAAAAGAGGAAAAATTGACTGCACATAATGCATACCTTAAAGATACGGAGTTAATGATGTTGATTGCACCCCCCCCCCCCCACACACACACACACAGATCCTTTCTTGTCTGGGTTAAACTCTTTATATTATGTTAAAATTTAATTTCTTGTAAACTTTGGAAAAACTGCCTTCTTCTGGCACTCTCATAACATGTTAGAAGCGGAGGTTATGGGAGGTAGTTGCATTTAGGTATATTAACACAATCCTAAACCTTCCGCCAGAGTTCGCTTGTACCAAACTTTGTATACCGAGACACAGGGAAAGCTGAATAGTTTGAAATGACCACGAAATTTGTGCCTGTAATGGTTGTCAAATTATCCAAAGTCCTCTCTCTTCATGTTTGGCTTTATATTTTTTCAGTTACTCATTCGCCAAAAGAAAAACGTCTACACTCAATCCGTGTAATGTAAAGGTGTTTCCCCTAGCTAAACAACACGGATGTTTGTTTAATTTTGTATACGGATATTTTTAAATTAATTAATTTATAAATACCTTTTTTCATTTCAAAAGGCATTATTGTACGAGATGAAAATACTTTCCATTAGAAGTATCTCTTTAAACATTGATTAAATTATCCACGAAAGTGAGTTGAAAAACAGTATACCCATAAAATAATTATTTTAAAAATGAAGAAAAAATACCTTTCTTGATCGGCGGTTTGATATATTAAAGCTTCAGTCTTTTTTCCAATCATATTTTCATGCAAGGGTTAAATAGAGAGGAATGATATTGCATGTTCTCATAAGTGACTTTGCAAATTACATACCAAAGTTTATATTTTAGAAGAACAAACTTTTGTCGCACAAAAATGTATCAAAATTGTTGGTAAGGAATGGCCGTAAAGTACAGTGTAGTTTATTTCTTACATGTTTTAAAAAGAGATAACAAACGTAAATAGACTTGAACATTATCAAATCCCACAAATCTTATCAGCACAGCGCCTGTGTTTCTCAGTTGCATGAACAAGTCATCGGGATCGGGATGTAAAAACGGAAGCAAGTGCTCCAAGAACGATAACTACCATTATTCCTTAGAAACGTAAACAGTAATCCTAATGTCGACGATGGAGAGTGCGATAGAAGATTTAAAGGACGACAATGTTCCGCCCTGTTTATACTGGTCTGTGGAGAAAGTGGCAGAGTGGATCGAGAAAATAGGATTCCCTAATTACACAGTATGGCTAAAAATGATTTAGTAAAGCTTTACACCGATAAAGTTAACGTAAGGAAAAGTAGGATTGTCAAATATTAGTTATTGTGATCGTTTTGGTTGGGTTATACTCATATAAGCAAGACTTGTCACTAAAGTTACATACGGTGGAATCTATCTTTTTTTTTACCCAAATTTTGCTTTTATTTTTAAAGTATGTCAATGTGATACAGGAGTGCTGTTATATATGTTTTTCAGATTAATTTTAATCTGGTCATTGCTTTCTAGTCTTGCATCACCACAAATCTTATTGATGGGAGGAAACTAATAACCCTAGAGGCCTCACAACTACCCAATATTGGAATCACAGACTTTCAACATATTAAGGTAAATAACACATCCTTATGCTACTCAAGGATTAAGATTTAAGAGTTTATTTTCTATATCACTTAATATGCACTTCATTTCAGGCAGGTTTATTTTGTCAGTTGTGTTTTCTTTGTTAGTCTAAATATACACTCATTAAAATGAAAAAAATGCTGAAATTAGCATTTATTCGAGGGTGTACCTCACTTCATACTTGATTTTATTCAAAACATCTATATTTTTAAAATCTTACTGGAGTCAGCTTAGACCACGCTTCATAAATAATTGACTCTCTTTCTTAATCAGCTGATTTGCACTTTCCACATAAATCATGAAGTAAACACGGAAGTGTGGAGGCATTGCAAAATTGCAAAGAAAATCTAGAGAGAAAAAATTTGGCATGGTCTCCAATCTCTCTAAACTTTCCATTCAATTCTGGAATACAATGTACTTCTAAACTTTACATAGATAGAGAAATCCTCACTTCCATTGCTATCAGTGTGAGTGGTTTATGTTGAGGACACTTTGTTTACTGCATAGACAATAGACCTTCTTTGATCAGAAAACCCTCACTGGAGCTTTTCGCTCAGGTGCATCAAGAAATAAATATTCACAAACTTTCAATGGCACATTACTGTTTTGAATCTTTTCCAAACTCAGGTGCCAACCAATATAAATCCTTATGTTTTCTGGCACTTAGACAGTAACATACTTTTAATGAAATAGGTGTGTATAGTTTCATTACTTCCAGTGGTGCTTATTTTTCAGACCATTACTAAAGCTGTCCGAGAACTTCTATTTATAGAAGATCCAGACTGGAAAAGAAGCATATCCCTTCCTCCCCGTGAAGACCTAGGTATGTTAGGCCATAGACTTCTGTATCTAAACTATGCACAATTTAATTCTCTTTTAATGATCAAAATATACAGTAAAATTTGTCTAATCCGGACTCTGAGTACTCCGGATTTTTGTCCATTCCGTCTATAAATTTTAGTCCCATGCACTTCTTTAACAAATTCATTAGAAAAAATTCTGTGTAGTCCGGATACTGTCTATTCTGTATTCCGAACGGCCACACTGGTCCCAACTGCTCATAATTAACGGTAATCATTCCCTCTAATCCGGCCACACCCGAGTTACTTCAAAGCAATTAACACCTTTCGTGGTGATAATCTGTGTTTACATTAGCATGATTAGTGCCATGAGACGAACTCGGTGAAATGCGGCGGTGACACAGCCCAATTGAAAAAAAAACATCATATGATTGAATTACAATTTTTAAAAAATACAACTTTGTTTTAACTCCTTTAACACATTATAACATAAACACAAAAAATTATGAACGCGATTTACAAATCAAAATATAAATCGGGATCGAAAATCGAACGCATTTCAAAATGGCGCCATAACACTATGGGGGAAGACGTAATTTTTTACATAGAATTAAAAGATCAATCCAATAATTAGCAAATCGTTAATAATTGTGCATCACTGTTTTTACACTGAATGAGCTCTTTGACAAGCGAAACCCTGTCCGCTTGATATAGTAGGCCTATATTATGCGTGCCTGATTATTTTGATTTGAGTAACATTTCACCCGACTTTCAAACTTCGTGAACAAACAAGAAAATATAGTAAGTCATTAGAGACTATTTTATAATTTCTAGACTCCAAAATATTGATTGATTTCATCATTTAATTAAAGTTTATATTATGTATATGATGTACTTTTAAATAAACAACGAAATTTTCAAAATTGATATTTTTCTGCATTTTTCCTGCACTCCGGATTCTGTCTAAACCGGCCAAATTTTATGGAACCGGCTGTAGCCGGTTTGGACAAATTATACTGTATTTCACAGTTTCAGTGAAGTTAAAAACTTGATTTTAGTTTAAAGAATTTTGCAGATATCCTCTAAACCTCATTTCCTTTGATCATCAGTAGCTTACTTCTATAGAAGTACAAAATCTTTTCTATTCTTAGGAGGATTATTTTTTTAAAAATTGTAATATTTCAGGAATGTATCTTGAGAGAAAAAGTCATAATGGAAAAAACCTTGATGGGCTGACATACAAGTCATTTTTACTGAATTTAAAAGACTCAAAATGGCAACCACCACTGGCCAATCACTGTTTAATTCTCCCTCGCTCATAACACTTCATGTGAAGATTCCACGACAAGAACGGAATGTATCTGAGGTGTACTCAGCTCTGTAGTTCTACTGATGTGATCAAAAATATCTACTGCTGATAAACATGTATATACAAGTATTAAGGTGCTTCTAAAACAGCATTCTTAGAGTGTGTCCAAAAATTTCTACACATTTGAAACTGCATGTATTTGCACTTGTTTACAAGAAATAATATGCAAAAAAAAAAACATTACAGCATGAAAATATTTGTCTTCACTTTTTTGGTGGATCTTACTCTTTTACAACATTTATCTTGTCGTATCCGAAAGTTAGGTAACTATATTTCTTAATGTGATAATAAGATTAAACTTAAATCTGCCTATCATTTAATTAGGTGATATAAGCTAAGCTTACTTTGGAGCCAATATCAAAGGACATTTTTAGTTTTATACATCCAATTCTTGGTACATTGTACACGTAAATGCTTGCTTCAATTGAATTATAAAACAAAAGAAACAACAGTATAAAATGTGTATTATTTTACTATTCTACACCACATCAGCATCAAAAGTTGTGCCTTCTTAAATGTCCACTGTGTCAACAATCACCTCATTGTTGTATTTACCTGAAACAAAATATGCCAATAAAATGTTATCATTTTAGTGCTTTTATTTATTTGTACATGTAATACTGTAGAAGTACTTTTTTCCGCGTGGTATAAATTTACGCTATGTACGCGGTCACAAATTTTCCGCGGAAAATTCTTAATATAAATGTATGGCATATAGTGACAGTCTAGGAAATCCACGTAATTTTCTACACGCGGATTAAATAGAAATGAAGATTGCACGGAATTATGACCCCGTGGAAAAAAGTACGTCTACAGTAATTGAATTTCATACTCCCTGCTTCTTTTTAGTGCCAAATACTAAATTTCTTGTTAGTCAACTTTATTGTATAATAAGAATACGATGTAAACAACAACAGTATGAACTCCTTTTTGTTGGAGTGAGTACACTCGGTAAGACCTACCCATGGTGTTGAGTTTTGTTTGAGTGAGTACACTTGGTAAGACCTACCCATGGTGTTGAGTTTTGTTTGAGTGAGTACACTTGGTATGACCTACCCATGGTGTTGAGTTTTGTTTGAGTGAGTACACTCGGTATGACCTACCCATGGTGTTGAGTTTTGTCTGAGTGAGTACACTCGGTATGACCTACCCATGGTGTTGAGTTTTGTTTGAGTGAGGACACTTGGTATGACCTACCCATGGTGTTGTGGTCTGTCTGAGTGAGTACACTCGGTATGACCTACCCATGGTGTTGAGTTTTGTCTGAGTGAGTACACTCAGTATGACCTACCCATGGTGTTGAGTTTTGTTTGAGTGAGTACACTTGGTATGACCTACCCATGGTGTTGAGTTTTGTTTGAGTGAGTACACTCGGTATGACCTACCCATTGTGTTGTGGTTTGTTTGAGTGAGTAAACTCGGTAAGACCTACCCATGTTGTTGAGTTTTGTTTGAGTGAGTACACTAGTATGACCTACCCATGGTATTGAGTTTTGTTTGAGTGAGTACACTAGTATGACCTACCCATGGTATTGAGTTGTTGGCCCGGCCCCACCAGACAGTTGCTGATCTCACATTTATCTCGGATGACACTCCTCCTGCTTATGATGCTTCCCTGTATATTGCAGCTGAAAAATAAATAAACGTTTAACACTTTGTGCTCCTATGATTCTCTATTTTGTGTATGATGCCAAGTTGTCATAAATTAGTAATACAGTGTACATGTATCAATTCCAACTTTTAAGTTCCCATCTCTTTAATACATGTACATGTACCGTAATTGTATAATGTATACAACTAGGGGTATTAAAATGATTGTAATATACAGGGGGATTACAAGAATTACTGCAAGTTAGAACATTTTCCCTGCAGTAAAGGGAATGGTACTTGGGAAAATAATCTGCTCCATAAACTTTAACTTGGGGAGCCAAGGGTATGACATTTGCTCCTCCAACTTCATTGAGATGAAATAAAAATTACCCTCTCCAGCAGACCTGGGGTCAATTACTTTGAAATGTAATGCATTAAATTACAATTACTTTGGAATTTTTATCATTACAATAACAATTATCATTACTCTCATTCAGAAAAGTAATTAATTAAATTGATGACCGTCAAGCAGAAACCAACCTTAAGTCAACATTTTGACATTTTGAGTTGTTAAGTGATCCTGATAGACAATTTTCTCCTCTTTCAAATGATATATATAACACGTTGCTGTTCAAAGACTAGAAATTAGTGAAAATTTTCAAATAAAAATTACAAATTCTTCGTCATGACGCTGTGTTTCAGGTAATAACGTTAATTTACAATCATTTTTGTCAGTTTATTTTCTTTTTGGGGGAGGAGGTTTATTGTGCCTTAAATGCTCTTTATCTGTTTATATGGTCTATTCTCGAAAAATCTCGACTGAAAACTCAAATTCATCTAATACTAGAGACTTTTATGCCCCCCCCCCCCTCCACACACACACAAAATACACAGTTCAGATCAGATTGATGGTTTGCATGCTCTTTTGTTTCAGAAGTTTTTTTTTTCATCAGTTTGTGATTGAACAATTTGAACAATTTCATGAAATGGTAAGTCGAGTCGACATATGAATGAAAGTAACTCTTGCTAATTGATAATAAATGTACACGTTGTCGGAATTTAAATTTATAAGACCACAGAAAAAAATTCCTGTTTCTCATTTATACGGATTTGAATAAATTCGGAATACGGAAATTATGTCTGCTAATAAGGGGCATTCTGATAACAAACGGTCCTATCATTTTCCACAGAGAGAGATTGATTGTATATTGTTTTATGTCCCTCTCGAGAATTTTTCACTCAGATGGAGACGCCACCGCTTTCCGGTGAAGAAAAAAAATTGTCCTTAATACTCGGCACTCAGGGACATTGAGCGGGTAGGGATCTTTTTCGTGCCAGCACCTACTGCGACACGGAATCTCAGTTTATACGGTCTCATCCGAAGGACCAGTCTCCACGTCGATCCCACAGTGGGATTCGAATCTGCGACAAGAGAGAGAGAGAGAGAATTTATTATTTCACACATAGATTAAATCAAGGCGTTCGTCGAAAATACTTTCTGCCCTTGAGGTTTTTTTTTTTTTTAAATGAATTTATTTTTTTTTGGAGCACTTTGAGGAAGAGATTCGATTGCTTCTTTCTATTAATCTCGCAAAAATGGCCTGAAGAGCTTTATCAAAGTAATTGTCCTCTCTGACCCTGCATTAAAGATGCATGTAATACACATTGCTGCAATATAATTTATACCTAGAGAAACTTTAAATTTGGCACTGAACTTCCAGTAATGGAAGGACCCCCTTTTCTTATGTTCTGAAAATGTACATTTGTCGCGCCTCGTGGTGGAAAGCAAGTTCACAATTCAATTATCTTCTCTCTGTCTCTATATATTTTACTTATTAAAGGAATTCTAACATCCGCCACAATGTACAGGACTTGCATAGGAAGTAAAATTTTTGTCTGATAGCAAGTCTCCATGATGAGTAAATGTCTGTTTAGGAAAAGAATTATTTGAAAATAATTGACAATGTGTTTTTCCTGCTTGATTGTAGACGACAATTTTGCTAAAATTATGAAAATTAAAACCTTAACTACATGCGTATTTGTTTCAGCTATGCAGATAAAAATGCATTACCAGGAGTGAATTTGTAATTTGCAGTGTGGTTAGGGTCAATATTTTTTTATGAAAAATAATTATCAGGATTTCCGCACAGGATAAAATTTTTTAAACTTAAAATTTAGAGGGATGGGTAATGCTGCTAAAGTAATGAATTACATTACACATTACATTTTATAAGAGGAAAACACAAAACGTATGATCACACAATTTATATCTATTAGTTAACTTTCAAAATTTTTGCTCGATTAATATGCTTTCCCTCAGATCTATAAATCAGAGTGGTATTTGGATTTTGGATTCATGTAACATGTTCATGTGGTTTACCAATCCAATCTGCAGTTGACAAAGAAAGTGGATCGGAACACTTTCAATGTTGTAGTTTTATTTTGTTCAATATCTGATGTTAGTTTCTGTTATGTTTTTGTTTTTTTAAATATGTGATTTATTAAACATTTCCTACTATATGTTTATGTATTTAACTAATATTTAATTAACAGATAATGCTATAAATGTTAAAAAAGTATTAAAATACTTAACGAATTAATTAGCACTTCTAACTAGCTGAACAGGTATAATCAATGAAGCTTTATTAAATCAAACACAACCAAAGGTGATAATTACAAGTACCTAAATATAGTATTTGAATTTTGAGGCCTTACGCTACCAAAAATGAATGATGGTAAATATATCAGTCTATATTTATGTTTGGCTTTATTTCTCTTTGTGTCTACAATAAATCATACTGATCTTGTATCATGTTTACCAAGTCCATTTTACCAGAATGAAAAGGGAAAATAATAAGTAGAAAAATATAGTTTGTATCGTAATTTAACTGGAAGTCTCACTATACATGTATTAATGTCTTTTTTTGTATCTTTCTTTAAAACCTGATGATTTCTTTTAATATTTTTCTCTGGTTCTCTTTGATTGATTTTACAATTGCCTTGTGAAGAAGTTTTCTATTAAAACAATAATTTAACATGTCTATCAGTTACCATTTAATAATTAAAAAAAAATTGTAGGATACAGGATTTTAATTTTAAGATTCTAACATTATTAATAAAAAAAAAAATCTCAGTGATATTTATTTGTTTGAGATTAAAAAATAAGAGACTAATATACAAAATGTAATTGAAATGTAATTGAAAAGAAATTGGTCATTACTGACATTTTTTTAAAGTAATGCATTACATTACAATTACTTGTAATTGAAAGATGGACCCATTACACATTACATCCCATTACTTTGAAAAAAATGTAATGATTACAATGCATTACCATTACACATTACCATTACCCCAGGTCTGCTCTGCAGACAATCTTTGTCAGAGTCACACTGTTTTATAGGTAAACAATACAACTAGTAAGAGCTTTTATTATTATAATCAGTTTCTCCAACTGATTCAATATTCTTACTTTTAACAGAAGAAGTACCATCCTGCTAACTTGTATTCAAAACAGGCTTATTTTATGAAAAAAAAAATTGTCTAGTTATTATTCTTTGCTTCAAGACTGTAATAATGGTATGATGCTTCAAGCAATACTAATTTTCATAAATTCCATAATGAATTTATGAGCAAACACCCTTCAGAATTAAGAATGTGTTCAAAAATTTTATTTTAAAAAATTCATAATGAGTTTTTCTCTAATTATTTTTCAGTCCCTGAAGAAAAATATCAAATATCCTCTGGCAGAAATTGTTCTCATTTAATGAAAAGTGTATGTCATTGACCATTTATCAATACTTCATTGCCAATACAGACAAGCGTAGCAAACCTTTTTTCATCACCCATCTCGCAAATATATACATGTACTGATTACAAAAAAATCTATGATCATTGGTATAATTAGCATGCTTTTGTTAGTATTCTTCAATCAACTCACCCCTCCTCAATGACAACATTATCCAGTATTGTGGAATTAGCGATTCGGACACGGTCCCCGATCTTACAATGTCGCCCAATCACAGAACGTTTTATAGAAACCTTCTCTCCAATTTGTGTACCCTCAGCAACCAAGCAGTCCGATCCTACCTGTAAAACAAGTAAACAGAGTACTCAAAGGAAGTCTGTACCAGAATATAATAATATATAATAAGTATATATATAATAAGTAATTTTATGTGGGTTTCTGATTATTCATTAGCTCTGAAATAAGCTTATCATCTTGAAGGCAAAAAGATAAAATTTGGCTTAAACAGTTAATGACATTTGCCTTTCTTTTCCCACTGTCCTGTTAGGGTAAAGTGCTGTATCTGAATACCTAAATTTTGACCTACTTGAGATTTTTCTGCCATGTTCACAGAGGCATGTAGATGTGGGACCTCTTTCTCAATCCCAGTGTGTGTGAAGATCTTTTGAATCTGAAGAAAACATGACAAGTTAGGTAACAAGATAAGTAATGCTACAGAGTCAGATCCAGTGGATTAGGTAACAAGATAAGTAATGCTACCGAGTCAGATCCAGTGGATAATTATGACACACCTGACGATTAGCTTCACTGTATGATGATATGGTATTCACTCGCAAACATAACCCTCCATCTTGAATGTAACCATAACAACGGATTTTGTCTCCATGGTAACAGTCTGCCATGTCTCCATGGTGATCATTCCAAGATGACATATCTCTAATATCAGCGGCATACTCCTCCTCAGAAGAAAACTTCAATATGTCTGCCAAAATCAATTTTAATAAATGCTTTTTTTTGACATTACAAATTAATTTTTTTCTAAATTACTATTGATAATAATGATGCTTACTCATTTTCTGGGTGTCTGAAATGACAGACTGGTTGGCCTGAGGTAATTTGTCCTTGACCTTTGCCTTAGTGAACTGTTTTCTGACTAGGTGGGGAATTAATTCTGTCCTTATGTAGGCTAATGACCTAAAGGCAAAAAGAAAATATGATCTCTTCATATTCAAATTGGTCTCCTCTGATACTGTAGGTCTAAGCATCTAATAAAAACAGAGATATATCCATTACAGCTTACTCATTTTCTGCTAGGTAATCAACGACCCATTTCTTCATTAAATAGAGGTGACAGTCTGTTAGTCCAGACTTAATACACATGTAAGGATGTCTGTCAAGAAAAAAAATATTCTAAATATTAATACCCTGCACAAATATCAGTACCTTTACATTTTACTTAACTTTTATACAAAATAGGACCTAGCTTGCTTACTTCTTTAAAACAGACTTTTTGACACTAATGGTTTCATCAACATCTGCCTCTGACTGTGTGAATAGTATCCTTTCACCCTTTTCATCAAATCCAAAAAAGTCCTTTTCTAGGAAAAAAAACACCACACACACAAAAGTTGATAAAAATCAATAATTTAAATGATATTACGATGTTACGACTTTTCTAAAAAAGTTTCGTTTAAAGTATATTTGGCTCGCTTGGGTATCCATTTTTGATGCCATTCTTCATAAAATCTCGTTAGAGATCGCGTGATTTGACTCGGAAGCATACAAACGCTTTTTTTGTACCGATGTGTACATAGATTTCAAGCACGTATTAGACAACGACAAGTGATTACCAGTGATTACATTGGTTACGATAAATTTCGTCAATATTATTGCCATGAAAAAGGAGATACAGCATTTTAGAATTGTATGAAAACGTTTGACATCTTCTGTTAAAGCACATGAGCTCATAATTTTATCAATAAAGTCAATAGAAATCATTCGATTGACCAAGCCATGAGGAACATCTCTACCTTTCGTTTTCGATCATCACGGGAAAGCCAATTCATTTAATGAAAGATAGGAACTAGTTTTATACCTAGATTAAATCATGTCATCATTTGTTTTGTTCGACAACTGAATGAACATTCAGAATAATTGCAATTTGCTTCTAGGCTATATCAGCAAAAGCGCTAGATCATTCTTCAAAAGGCTAAGTTAAGCAGCCAATCAAAGCAAAATGATGAGAATGAAAAATATTTGAATTAATATAATTTATGTCAAACTTAGGTGTTTCTGTCTACTTTGCAGTTGATATTTAAGATTAATCATTGTAGTTTTCATTTAAGGCCATACATATATATTACATGAAATATATCTTCATAAATCCAAGCGTAAAATAACGTGCGCACAATGCTCCCGCTTTTAAGGTCTGAATCTCCCTATTTTTCATCACAATAGGTTAACATGTATGTCCCAAAACTTCTCTCACCCAGCTGTTTCTTAGATTTGGCTCCTGGGGCCACTGCCTCGTAGTACTGAGATGGGAGCGGGGATAGAAGCATGGTCAGTGATGCATCATGGGTACGGTGGAGATTGGCAATGTTGTGGAGAGAGATGTCGGTAATTAGGTCACAGCTGATAATTAAGAGGTCTGTCTAAAAATAGCAACAGTTGACTTAAGTTAAAAATAGAATCAGTAAACTGAGCAAAACCTCTTAGTAGAACTCTGAATTTTTTTTAAAGGTACATTCAAATTCAGGATTTCAGGAAAAAATTGCTATTAAAAGCATAACTCTTACTATATGCAATCAATATTTATACTGTAGAAATGGAAATATTGTGTGGGTACACCACATCAGTAATTCCAAGAACAGTAACAAAATAACTAATCCTTTCTGTATGAAAATACTTTGTTATACTGGAATCACAAATTACACCCATTAATCAAATTATTTGCTTTAAATATTTGTGTTAACACTGCACACATACATACTTGCAGTGTTACTTTCACACCAGTTCGACAGTCTATCCATTCAATAACATTGTAATTTTATTTACAAAATAATAACTAGATGCTGTCATGAGACAGTAATACCCGCACTAAGGTGTTTGCCTCTAAATACACAATCCTACGGGCGGCTTACCAAGGAAAAAGTCAAAATAATTCTATATAATTCAGGCACGTAGCATCGTTTTTGAAAGTGGGGGGGGGGGGCAACCTGAGAAAATTTTTTTTACTAACCTAAAAAAAATTAACAAGGAAAAAAAATGAAATGGGGGGGGGGGTGGGGGTGGGGGGGTGGTGGCCACTTTTTTTTCAAGGCAAAATTACTTTCACTTCCAATTTTTCCCATATTTCCTTGCAATGTATATACTGTGGTTAAAAGTGGGGGGAGGGGGCAACCATCTTTTTAATGGACATTTTCTTATAGTACAGGTAATGTTGGGAAAAAAAGGGGGGCAGCCCCCCCCTCCCCCCCCCCCCCCCCCCCCCCCCCCGTTGGGTATGAAATTCAATTCAATTCAATTTCTTTATTGATTCACCAAACATGTTGGCATACAACCATGTTACATATAAAAGACAAGTAATAAAATACATACATGCAAGTGAAGTCAACTATGCAGAGTATCCCTGTGACCTATAACTCAGAACCTCTTATATTTATTTTACATGCTTAATTCATTATATACCAGTTTGAATTCTATTAATAATGTAAATTAGATTTTGATAAATGTTTTGCTCATATTAGGACCTTTTTAAATTTACTAATCCCCCCCCCCCCCCCTCTCAACACCACAATCACACAGTACATACTTTTGGGAATAGGCTAGATGGAACAGTTTTGTTAAAACAGTGTTTGTTATGAATTAATTTAAAATTTGTTCTTGACATGTAAATTCTACATCACATCACGTTGCGTCACCCATTATCATATTTTTAGATTAAACTCCATTCGGTACACCTCGGCCGATTCCCACTTCATCTGATAAGGTGACGGAATCGACGGCACGGAGGTTTTCTGAATGGAATATCATTATAACATGCTGCAGAATGGTGTGCTTTGGATTAATTCATTTTGTGTTATAATTGGATTTATATTTCATGAAGTTTACAGGACCTATGGAGGTCGGTAAGTACAAGTTTAAGTATAGTGGGGGTAAAATAAACCCAAACGATTAGGTTAAAGTTCAAAAAGGGTCAAAGATCATCGCATGCCACACTAGACGAATTTCATATTGTGAAGTTATCTCCCCTTGTCGATGTGACATTCAGTTACTGCCAATACTGGTGCGGATCCAGAATTTTTTTTCTGGATTAGGGAGGGGGGTTCACATCTCAGTCAAAATATTCATGCCTAGAATTTCCTGACAAGCAGGAGAAAAAAATCATACACTGAAAACAAATAAACAAAAAAAACCCCAATGTTTTCTTAGTTAGGGGGAGGATGTCCAAAATCATTTTTTTTATTTGCTTCAGTTTATAGTCTTGTTTAAATAACAAAGGAAATTCCGGGGGGGGGGGGGGGGGGGGGGTTCCAATCTCCCTACCCACTCCCTATCACTGAAATAACAATCTATTTTGTGATTCCAATTAAATAGTATATTTTTTTCCATTTGACTAATTATGTACATATTTTGTTTCTTGTGTTTATATTATGTCTGTATATTTGTCTGCAGAAATTATAACCTTGCCCATAAGTTTTAAGTGGGATGGGCTATACAGTTGGCTTCCACATTTTATAGGTTTATTTCTTGTGACAATTAAGACCTTTTATTTGGGTACCATTAATTTTTACCTCTGATCACTTGACCTAGAATACACATTTACAAGAAAAATACCCAACTTTAAACTTGGCCTAAATTTTGATCAGTAGGTGCTAGGGCTTTCATGCTTAACATGTGTATTCATTGTGAACTGTCAACAGGTATAAATATGTTTGACCTTGACCGTAGAGTTTGAACCACTTAAAAAATTAACCTTGGCAATTAACTTTTGAAGAGGAAGTACTAGGGATTACTTATTTCACATGTGCATTCCTTGTGACAAGACTTTTTTCTGATACCAACAATTGAACCTTTTGACCTTGACCTTTGAGTTTGACATATATTTGAGAAACTTCAACCTTCGCCATAGGCTACCAGACAGGGACATCAGTGTTTCACAAACACATCTTGTCTTCATTATTATTTGGTGGTGTCTCCATATGACGGAAAAATTCCAATGAGATATGTATTCACAACAAACAAACAAATTACTAAAGAAAATATAAAACATGAATATGTTGGTCATGCATATCTCTGCATGAAAAAAAACCCAGCTTTTCAAGTACTGCAACCATATTGTAACCCTTTCAAAACACTCATTTGAGCTTTTCTGGTTTCCTTGTCATATATCGTCTGTTGTGACATGTTGTCCATCTGTTTGTCTGAAAACTTTTTACATTTTTAACTTTTCTAGAACCACTGTCCAATTTTACCCATGCAATTCATATAGAAATATGTACATTTGTATGTCAGACTGTTCTTCTGTCTGAATAAAATTAACCTTGGTTATCACGGTCATATCTACTGAATGAGAAGAGACAAGGCATTCATATTAAACTTATGTACTAGTATTTACCTGTGAGAATGGCATGGTTTTTTTTTTTTTTTTACATATGACCTAGAAGTTTGACCTACTTGCAAAAAAATTAAATTGTTATAAATTTATCATTTTGAAAGAGAAAAGTTAGGGCATTCATATTATAATGCATGTATATTATTACCTGTGATAAGATCTTTCCAAATGAATCATGACTTTTACTCTGTGACCTTGACCTTGAAGCTAACCTACTTTTCAAAAATGTTGCATTTGCTTATAACTTTTGATTGAGATGAGATATGACTCTCACATTTGACATTTGTACATTAATCACTCATAAAAATTCAAGATGTTTCCCAGCTTGCAATGTTTTTTTACTCTTTAACGTTAATGTTTTACATAATTTTCAAGATATTTAACTCTCCTAAAAGATGATTAGGCTTCTGAGTAACATTAAGGAGGACTTCAGGAAAGACAGGACTTTTTGCACAAAAAATGTAATTTTCCACCCCCATTTGACCTCCCAGGGCAATATCAAAATTCCAAAACCTTGCTGCACATCTACATGACACTACCAACCATCTCCCTAAAGATGATTAGGCTACTGTGTAAAATGTAAGAGAATTAGGAAGGCAAGGAGCTTGCATAAAACCGTCATTTTTTTACCCCTATTTAACCCCCCGGGGCAAAATCAAAATTCCGAAACCTTATTGCACATCTACATCTAAACCACCAACCATCTCCCAAAAGATGATTAGCCTACTGTGTAAAATGTAAGAGGAGTTAGGGGAAGACGGGGCTTTTTGCATAAAAAACATCATTTTTCGACCCCCATTTGACCCCCGGGCAATATCAAAATTCCCCAAACCTTACTGCACATCTACATGACACCACCAACCATCTCCCAAAAGATGATTAGCCTACTGTGTAAAATGTAAGAGGAGTTTAGGGAAGACGGGGGTTTTTTCATAAAAAACGTCATTTTTCCAACCCCCCTTTTACCCCCCCGGGGGAAAATAAAATTTTCCCAAACCTTACTGCACATCTACATGACACCACCCCCCCATCGCCCAAAAGAATGATTTGCCTACTGTGTAAAATGTAAGAGGAGTTAGGGGGAAAACGAGGCTTTTTTCATAAAAAAAGTCATTTTTCGACCCCCATTTGACCCCCCCAAAGGGAAAATCAAAATTCCGAAACCTTACTGCACATCTACATGACACCACCAACCATCTCCCAAAAGATGATTATATTTAAAAATTTAAGGGGGAAATTTTGGGGAAAAAAAAGTTGGCAAAAGGACGGACGGACGGACGGACGGACATGAGGGGAACAACAATATTCCCAAAATTTTTTTTGCGGGTATAATTATGCCATTATATAAAATTATAAATATCTTGATATGTAAGCAGTTTATACCTTTTACTTTGTGTCTGATGTCTCTGAAACTCCGGTTCCGACGTTGACCCGGGCACCGGGGACATAGTTTTCCCGGTGGGGTTTCACTAGCAGCACTCAGTTTTAAAATCCTTTTTTGTATCTCTGGCTGGTCGTCAGGTCCACCACAATAATTTTCCCTGTATCAAATTTCATGATTAAAAAGGAAACGATGATATAGGACAAAAAAAGGCACTAATTTATTTAAAAACAAACTTTATAGAATCCTTTTTGGAAAAAAAAATAAAAAGCCAAAATTATATTTAAAAGCAAAAATTTGCTCAACTTAATTAAAGACATACAAGGAAATAATTTTATGCTTTAATAAAATTAAAAAACCTTTAAGTAAAATTTTAAATTTTGCTATATCAAATGTTAAGCAGTGCTTCTCATCACGTCATCAACCCTTTAAATCCAGCCCTCTCCAGTATGTTTATTGGGGGGACCAAACCATTGGTCGATTTCCAACCAGCAAGGCGGCTTTGGACATTTAGACGTGAGGTCTGACTTTTTACTGCCCCGGGCCCGGACCATGATAATGGCTGAAACTCCATCACTAAAACTAAAGTAAAATAAATTTATCAGCCAAGAAATTGGGGAGGGTTGGATTAAATTATACAAAGACTTTGATAGACCTTCAAGTTCATACAGACATATGTTCCAAACTTGCTATGCAATAAAATAATTACCTTATTCACAATCTGTCATTCAAGCGTTAAAGAGATTCTAGAGTGGGTGTTAAATAAAAACTGTTTAAAGAATAAAAACCAAGAAATTTTCCCCAAAATTTTGATTTTTTCCCACTTTCACGTTTTTTTTTATTCTGTTTTTTGATGAAATTTGGGCGTGTTCAGTTATGGGTAGATCGTTCTTTGGGTTATTCGCAAAGATATAAGAAAACAAGATTTTTAACCAAGGTGTACTAAAAGTTTTTTAAAAAGATTAAAGGTCATTTGGGAAAGAGACCAAATCAATTTATTTTATAAAAATATCTATTCCATTTTATTTTAAAAATTTTCTAAGTTATAAAAGGGAAGGGGGGTTTAAGGGGGACTCACGCATATTATGATTCGAACATTCCCCCGAGACCTATTAAGTTTTAAAAAATCGGGAAAACTAACAAGAGAATATCAAAAACATGTAGATAAAATTTAAAATATATTTTTTCGGTTTTTGGTAAAGAACAAAAAATGTAAATGAGACAAAGAAGTACCGTGAAAAATTTATAAACTGTAGTAGTTTACTGAGATAAAGACCTTAAAAATAGACTGACAAAGCAAGAAGGAATTAAAATCAACTTGTGGTACTACATGTACATGCCGCCTTACAAAAAGTAATGTAGGCGGGGGAAAATAAATTTTGGGCTAGAGTGAGAGCCAAACTGGGGCTTGGTTTGGGGGGTTAGGGTTTAGCTTAAGGTGTGTGGTCACGGGGAATGTTAGCCCCTTTTCGGGGTACTTCCCCAGAACAAAATGTTTTTGAAACACTGATCCCTTGGCAATATGCAAAAGGTTTTTCTTTTTTAAAACCCGAAAAAATACCTGGTATGTTGTACCTTTAAAATCACTGTAAGGCCCTTTTTACAAGAAATACAAATGTGAAATATCACAAATTTTGGGAAAAATCTCTGTTGACCATATTAAACACCTAAAAAAAAAAATTTTAACAACGCTTAATCATGGCTCTCCTGTGAGACACAACTTCTAAAAAAAAATGAACGACCTGCTGATAAATTATGACAAAGGAAAAAAAACAGATATGGCAATTTTGGACTTCTTAAAGCTTTTGACACTGTTCCACATCAGGAAAAATACTCCATAAACTCAGTCGTTCGGCATAAAAGGGGAAATCACCCATCATGGCTAACTCAACCCTTCAAGAAGGACAATGGGGAACGGGGTAGAGGGCGAGAAATCAGAGGCGGGGGGCCGGGGGAGTCCGGGGGTTGGGCCGGGAAAAGGGGGGGGGGCCCGGGCCGCTGCCCTTTTTTTGCCACATTAACGACCTCCCAACTCCGTAACATCACAAGTCCGGCTGTTGGGAGATAATTTTTCCCCTTTTTTACCGACAAAACAACAACTATGGAGATCAGGAAAAAAATTCAGGGGAAAACCTTTACCCAAATTGCAAAAGTGGGCCAATGACTGGGGTATGCTTTAAAAACCCAAAAAAAAGCTACATCATGAGCATACGCCCAAAAAAACCCGCAAATTTATATACTGGACAATCACGTGCTGGAAGAGGTTGGAAAAAAAAACCCCCCTCTTTGGGCTCCAAATTTTTTAGACTGAAAGTTGGGGGCAACTCACTCAACAAGATCACTAAAAAAAACTCATTCAACATTAGGATTTCTCCGACGAAATTTATCACCTGTTTCCGGGAAATGCAGGGAAAAAGGGCCCACGTCTCCATGGTGCGATCAACACTTGAATATGGATCAATAGTCTGGGACCCCATTTTAAAAAAGGGCATAGATAAGCTCGAACGTGTCCAACGCAAAACCATTTTTTCATAAAACGAGCTACCACAACAGGGAAAAGGGGTTTATCACCAC